GAGGAGGCAATGTTTCAGGAGCGAGCAGACGTGGCAGCAGAGGAAGGGGTCGAGGCAGCACTAGTCGCAGCCAGAGGCCAGTGCTCTCCCGGTGTCATCCAGCGGTCGTGTCTCCACCGACAACCCTGCCGTCATCGATTGGTTGGCTCGGTCGTCTTCCTCTTCCCAGGTCACCTCTGACACCTACAGCCAACGGTCGGTGGGTACGTCAGACACAACTGTTAGTTGGCATGGCCCGGGAGCAAGCCCACTGAAATCACGTGTCCTCTACCTGCCCCTGTCCTTTTGGTGTTCCCTCACCAAGCGAAAGTATCGCATGCTGTGGGCTCAGCCCCCACTGTACAGTGAGGAAGAGCTAACAGAGGGCGGTCAGGAACGGGGGGAGACATCCGCCTCTTCAGCAGCCAGGCGAAGAAGTACTGGCGAGGAGAGTGGCTCGGTAGCCGGTCTAGAGACAGGTCTGTCTCCTGACCCACACGCAGCCGAGGGGGCTAGTAGTGAGGCGGAGACCCTAATTGATGATGATGAGGCTGATCGCACTTGGAAGCCTCGTCGTCATCAGGCTATTGCTTCCGCATCATCAGGAGAAGAGGGTGCCAGCTTGGCAGCGAGCAAAACAGTCGGTGGGTTTGCCCAGGAGGCAGCAGGGTTGCAGCAGTGTCAGTGGAGGCAAACGGCCACGGAGTAGAGCACCAGCTCCACTGCAGCCTACCACCACGGCCATAGTGGTGCCGGTGTGCACGGAGGAAGTAGCAGTCAGCCAGTGAGGAGTAGCGGGGGCAAAGTTTTTTCCTACTCGGCGGTGTGGCAATTTTTCGTCAAGCCGCCCGAGGAAGTAAACGTAGCCGTATGTCGACTATGTGGCCAGAAAGTCAAGCGTGGCCAGGGGGGCCCATGTTTGGGACTACAGCGTTGCGTCAGCATATGCAGCGTCGCCATTCGGTGGCCTGGGAAAACCGTGATAAAGATACGGCGGTTCTGCCTGCCCCAGCCCCCGCTCCATCACCGCTCCGTTACTTGCTCCGTCACCCGACGTCAATCGCCCTCTATCAGCCAGTCAAGGCTCCAACACCTCTGCTGAGGGGAGTTGTCGCTCGTTGGCATCTTCCGCTCGTTCAGATGCTCCTTCTCCTGCTACTCCTCTTCACGGATTCCGTCAGCAGTCTTTCTTGGAATCCGTTTCCAAGAGACAACAGTTTGCGAGCACGCACCCGACGGTGCAGAAGCTGAACGTCCTCCTGTCCAAGTTGCTGGTGCTGCAGTCCCTCCCTTTCCAAGTGGTGGGACTCAGCACCTTTCCGAGAAATGATGGCTTGTGCCGCGCCGCGGTGGGAGAGTGCCAAGCCGGCATTTCTTTGCCCAAAAAGGCAGTGCCAGCCCTGCATTCACATGTAGAAGAGATGGTGGGCCAGTCTTTGAGCATGTCGGTCTCTGCCAAGTGCACGGCAGCGCCGACGTGTGGAGCTGTAACTACGGTCAGGGACAGTACATGTCATTTACGGCCCACTGGGTGAACGTGGTGCCGGCACAGCCGCACCAGCAACTTGGACAGGTCACGCCGCTTTTGCCTCCACGTTTGCACGTCCTTGGTCAGCAAAGATGTCCGCCTCTACCACCTCTTCTTCCGCCGTGTCCTCAGCCGCCAGCCCCCCCGTGCCAAGTCCCATTACCCGACCGGCATATCACATGTGCAGGCGCAACGGTGTCACGCTGTGCTGCACCTGGTATGCCTTGGTGAACGTAGTCACACAGGGGAGGAACTTCTGAGTATAATGAACAGAGAAATCGACAGATGGCTGTCTCCGCGCAAACTGAAAATCGGAACCATGTTGACCGACAACGGAAAGAACATGGTGTCTGCTCTGCGTCAAGGAAGGTTGTGCCATGCGCCATGCATGGCTCACAGTGTTCAATCTGGTTGTCCAGCGGTTCCTAAAATCCCACCATCCCACTGCAAGACATCCTTAAAATGTCACGTAAACTTTGCATGCATTTCAGCCATTCCTACACCGCAAAGCACACCCTCCTTGAGCTGCAGCGGCAGAACGGAATTCCACAGCATCGCCTGATCTGCGACGTTGCAACAAGGTGGAATTCAAACCCTACATATGTTAGACCGCCTTTACGAACAGCGAAAGGCCATCACCGATTTCCTGATGTTACAAGCGGATAAAGGTACTCCCCTGTGTAACTTAGATGTCAGCCATTGGCAGCTCATGCGTGACACCTACCGCTTGCTCAGGCCCCTTTGAGGAGGCCACGCTATTCGTGAGTCGGCAGGACTATGGGATGAACGACGTCATTCCTCTGTTGCACGTCCTGGAACAAATGCTGTTAACAATGGCTGGTCAGGGTGCGGTAGACGTGGCGCACAGATCTCAACGCCACATGACCCCTGTGGGGGGCAGGACAGGAAGAAGAGGAGAGGTAGAGGAGGACATTGGTGCTCAGGAATTATTGAGTGAAATGGGTGGTTTTTCCACTCAGCGGACAGGAGTGGAGGAGCAGGAGCATCTGGTAGAGGAGGAGGAGGAGGAGGAGACAGAGGACCCAGACGCACCGTGGCAGTATGCTGTGGAGATGGAGGCAGGGAGTCCCTCGCATTCCTTGGCACAAATGGCCCATAGCATGCTCGGTTGCTTGCGTAGCGACAGCCGAATAATAACCATCAGACAGAGGGATGACTTTTGGCTGTCCGCCTTGTTGGACCCTCGCTACCGTTCAAAAATGGTGGCCTTTTTCACACCTGCTGAGAGGGAGGCCAAAATAACGTACTATAAAAACCACCTATGTAGTCAGTTGGTCTCTGCCTTTCTGCTCCAACGTCCATCCTCAGACACTGTGGGCCCTGTGCGCTCGCGTTCCGCTGCCATGGCAGCAGGGGAGGGGTGGGGTGGTAGGAGCAGTGGCAGCTCCACCATCAGCGGCTGCCTCAGTCTGCAGTCGATGATGAGTAGCTTTCTTCACCAGCGCAGTGAGGAAACTACTAACCAGCCGCAGCAGCAGCAGCATCAGGTGGACCTGGAGCAGGACCTCAAACAACAGGCTTGGGCCTACTTGGACAGCACCCTGCCAACCGAGGTAGACAATCCCCTTGACTACTGGGCAACGAAACTTGACCTTTGGCCCCAGCTAGCTGAATTTGCCCTTGAAAGGCTGTCATGCCCAGCCAGTAGCGTGGCATCGGAGCGCGTGTTTAGTGCGGCAGGAGGTATTGTAACTCCGCGGAGGACACGACTGTCCACCCAAAGTGTGGAGAGACTCACGTTTGTGAAAATGAATCAGGCGTGGATTAGTCTGGATTTCAAACCACCAGTTCCTGACACAACTGACTAAATCCACCATGAATCATGCCCCAAACATGTTATTATTTTTAACATAGGCCTCTGTATGGCCTTCAATTTAAGCTGCTTATGCTTCGCCACTCTGCCATTGGCCCCTGTACCGCCTCCTCTTGCTGCTGCCAGTCCAGAGTGTGTCATGGGTCCCTGTACGGCCTCCCATTGCTGCTGTCTCCATCGCCACACTCTGCCATGTGCCACTTTCAGGTCTCCTCACACTGCTGGTGGGTTCCATTTTGTCATAGGGTGCTGGCAGATTACGGGCCTCCCATTGCTGCTGCCAGGCCCGTAATCTGCCATGGGCCCCCGTACCGACTCCTCATGCTGCTGCCAGGCCCGTAATCTGTCATGGGCCCCTGTACCGCCCTCCTCATGCTGCTGCCAGGTCCAGAGTGTGTCATGGGTCCCTGTACGGCCTCCCATTGCTGCTGTCTCCATCGCCACACTCTGCCATGTGCCACTTTCAGGTCTCCTCACACTGCTGGTGTGTTCCATTTTGTCATAGGGTGCTGTATGGCCTCCCATTGCTGCTGCCTCCACCGCCACACTGTGGCTCCACACTCTGGTTTTGGCCCCGTGACTGCCCAAATGAGTGAAGTGTGCGGTGATTCTAAGATCGACGGCACTCATCTGCATGTCATACTGACTGACAGTATTATTTCTCTTCCCCAGCAGACTCCAAGGGCATTTAAATTAAAGGTACAGTGTTCTGCACTAATATAAAGGCTCTCTGAAGCCTAGAAACACCCTTTTTATAAGTTAAATTCGCAGCGAATATATTCGACTCGAATCGAATTTATTCCGCGAATTCGCCGAATCAGCCGAATCGAATTTTTGAATAATTCGCTCATCTCTAGTCATAACAGACAGGTAGAGATGTCATTGTTCCAAACCTGTCTGAAAATTTCTGCCTTGACACTCTGTGTACCAACCACAGAGCTCTATGCTCTATGAACGCAATAGGAAAGCAAAAAGTTGCACACCAATTTGCACATGCTCAGATTTGTTTTTGTTTTTTGGTGGTTGATTTTTTACTTTTAATAAAAAGTTAGGGTTTTTTTTTTTGGGGGGGGGGGGGGTTTACCACTTGAATGTTTTGAATGTGCAATTAACATTGTCTTGGGATATGTCATTAAAGCTGCATTTTAGTTTGAGCATTATGTTGTAGTTTTTTTTTCATTATTTGATGTTTATATGAAATGAATTACTTTAAGACTTAAGTTAAATTGATTGTATACTGCATAAAAGAGTTTTTCCTCCCTGCTCCCCCCATCTCTGTTATCAAGCCTATATTGGGTGAAAGGTTAGAGTGGGCCTTTTTTTGGCAGGGCTCTAGTGTATTATGTCCAGGTCTAATAAAGTTGGATGTGACCTGTCATCAATGGTGTGTGACTCCTTATAGGGTTTACAAAGGCTGGACATTCTCTTCAGCAGCAGTCATATGAAGAAATGCTTGGCCATTGGCCATGGGATCACTACAAGGGGGATTCTGGAGAAGAATTTGTATCCATTCTGCTCCCCTTTATTTACCCTTCCCAGCAAGCCTACAGTATACTGTGTACTGCACATAACTCAAAATCTGCTTTTAAGTGTAGGTTTTCTTTGCCACTGTACTAAGTGTAGGTTGACATTTTTTTTTTTTGTTTGTGAAAATGTTGCCTATTTGTAGGAACTATTACTGATGCCATGCCAACAAAAACAAAGAAGAAAACAGGAGCGGCAATTAAGGCAGTGGACACTTCAGTGCTGAAGAAATTTCTGAAAAGATACGAAAATCATTGTGCCCAGTGCCAGTCAACTGCCAGCCCCACCATCACCCAAGCACTCAAAAAATGTATCCAAAATGGATCCAGTTACCTCAAAGTAAGTTTGGCAATAAACAAAAGGCAACCATAAAAAACACTGTAGTGCAGAAAAATTACCATTAGCATTCCTGGCTCCACTATGAACATAAGCAAATGAAGAGCTTGTGTTACGCATCAGTTTCCATAATAAAAAGACTCTCCCTTGGTTCAAGGAATTTTTAGCTTCTATGACGACACACAAATCTATCTCTCAACCCCCCACCTCACCCCCTCGGTCTCTGCCCGAATCACACACCTACTGAGCGACATATCAGACTGGATCTCGCTCCACTTCCTTAAACTGAACCTCTCCAAAACCGAGTTTCTTGTCGTCCCCCCCCAGCCCGGACACCACCCCCCATTGACTTCTCCATCACATCCAACAACCCTACCATCAAACCCCCCCCCCGCAGGCCAGAGTACTCGGTGTCATTCTGGACTCCAACCTATCCTTCCAGCCCCAAGTCCAATCTTTAACTAACTCATGCAGACTCCACCTCCGCAACATCGCCAAAATCCGCACGTTCCTAACCCCAGAAAACACTAAACAGCTCATCCACTCCCTCATCATATCACGACTCGACTACTGCAACTCCCTCCTCACTGGCCTGCCTCACCACTGGCTATCCCCGCTTCAGTTGATCCTGAATACGGCTGCCAGACTCATTCACCTTTCCAACCGCTCCGTTTCCGCCACCCCCCTCTGCCAATCCCTCCACTGGCTTCCGATTGCCCAACGGATCAAATTCAAAATCCTAACACTGACGTACAAAGCTGTCCACCATACTGCCCCGTACTACATCACTGACCTAATATACAAGTACCGCCCAGCATGCACACTCCGTTCCTCACATGACCTCCTTCTCTCTAGTTCCCTGGTCTCCTCCTCCCATGCCCGCCTCCAGGACTTCTCCAGGGTGTCACCCATCCTCTGAAACTCCCTGCCCCAACCATCAGATTATCACCTACTCTCCTCTCCTTTAGGCGCACCCTGAAAACCCACCTCTTCAGGGAAGCCTACCCCACCCCCTGCTAACTTGCCGACCTCCTCCACTCTTCCTACCACCCCCCATCCCCCACAGCTATCTCCTCCTGTACCACTATCCCCTCCCTCCTAGATTGTAAGCTCAAAAGAGCAGGGCCCTCAATCCCCTCATGTTTTTCATTGTATTGGTATTGTTCTGTCACATGTTCTGTCCCTCTTTGTAATGTACAGCGCTGAGCTAACTATTGGCGCTTTATAAATACTGTATAATAATAATAATAATTATGAAAATTTAAATTAGCCAATGACTAAAAGTGACCTCCACAATTGTGTATGCCCATTCATTCTAATGATGGTACTTCTACTAAAAATTGGACAGTTTTAGAAAAATAACCAGACCATCTAGATTTCATGCTTAGGAAATGTACTGCTTTATTCTATAAGTGCATTCCATCATTTCAGTTAGCTTTGTATGACCATCATAGCAGGTAGTGTTACTGTCCTGAAGCACTGGAGAGATTGTGAGATTGCAACACAATCATATAATCCTAGCTACTAATAGAAACATGAAAATGAAGAGTTAAATGATACCAGCTCTCAAAACAGCTCACATATCTTCCGTAGGGCTTATGTTGGTGGGTTTTTGTTTTGCTCAAAACTAATTTTACATTCCCACACTAGTCTATGGGAATACAAAAACCCTCTTGAAGCAAGTCAAATTAAAGTTAAAAGGGACTCAACTACAGGTCAAATACACCTGTCAGTGAACTCTGATGCCAAACTGATGTCATTGACATAGCATTCATTACCTCTGGCTCCCATGGAGTAGAGGTAATAAAACTGAATCCACCAGATTACATATGGATAATATAAAATATCGAAAAAGCTAAAGATAACACAAGTGTCATAAAGGAAACAAAAACTTTCCTTACCTTTCCTGACTTAGCCAAAACCTTCTTAATTTGTGTATCACATACTCCCCCTTCCAGACACAGTGGGATGGTTTCAGCAACAGTGACAGTGTTGTCCGTTCAGAAAGCAGTAGGCAGGACTAGGAATGGCCAGCTGCTAAATGATAAGCTACAGGTGAATCAGTAGTGACAATGCCTGGACCCACACACCCTGCAACATTCTTTCATCCAACTGTAGTGTAAGCAGGCACAACCTACATAAAAATGACAACTCTGCTCGTAACTCAAGGGCAGTGCAACATTGTTGCCACACCATCACAGGAAACTGCATTAACTGGACTTCTTTGGCAGGCTCAAAAACTGTTTTTTGGGACATTGCAGAGGGACTAGAAGAAAACTGTAAGTGCAGATATACTTCTAATTAGATGCTGCAGCATGTTTTCTTTTTAAAGTGGTATTAAACTCTCATTTCTATTTTTACCTACAGGTAAGCTTTATAAGAAAGCATTACCGGCGCATGCGCTCTGAAGGAATGGCATGCCCATGCCGTTCCTTCAGAGCTGTGTGCCATGGCTGAAACTCCCTTGCCATGCAGCTATTCAAGCAGCTGCAGTCCAGGAACCCGGAAAGAAGAATGGGTGAAGATAAAAGCCCTGTCAGTGGTGACAGTGCACCGCTGGAGGGCTTCGTTTTAAGGTAAGTTTCACATAATGTGCTTTTATGCAATGCATACTAGCACATTATATTACTTTGCAGGGGGAAACTTTTTTTTTTTGTTTTCGAACAAGTTTACTAATAACCTAATTTTTGCTTTAATAGGGGATTTGTGGATCTGTTAGTTCTGCATTAAACGTTTGCAAATACAACTTACTTGCTTAGCAAAAGGTATAATTTAATACTGTATTTTTTTGTTTTAGGGTTTTAGATTGTAAACTTCAAACAATAAATGTGCCATTTTGGTAAAGTTGACAATCCACACCATTTTAGAAGTGATTGTGTTGGTCCATTTTTGTAAATGATGCTTTATGGAATGTAGTTCAATAGTACAAAATGACTGCTTATTGACAATGTGACAATGATCGATAAATGCAATACTTGTCTGTGTCCTGCAGATTATCCTGTCCTGCCCTGGGAACCCTTCAGACAGCTCAGCTTCGGTTTTATTAAGGCCACTACTTATGACAATCCGGGATGAACGATATATGCTTGGGACAGACTTGTGTTTGTGGGGAATCTCACTCAGTAACCAGGATGTTGCCAGTCTTGTAAGTTTCCTGTATGCTGAATGCATATGTAGCGCTACCCTTGTGAGGGCCGCTGTGTAATGGGCATCCCTAAACCTCCCTCCGCACAGCCAGGCAACAGGTATTTTTCACACAGACTTGCATTATAAGACAGTGACCAGTGCATGGGCTTGGTTTTGTTATTTTATTAGGAGAATTCAACTTGGATAGGGAAATAGGGATTATGGGATTCCCGGCTTGGCATGAATCAATGGAAGAGGGACACTTCCTTGGACCTATGGACTGAAAGCCTTCAGTTGTTGTGGATCAGTAACAGCTGCCCTTTATAAGCGAGGAACTAGCACCTCCTCAAAAATCAACTTAACTTCTCGTAGCTACATGCAGAGATGTCTCCTCTCCCCCCTTAGAGCTGCCCCCAGCTCCACAGCCTGCAAAACACTACCAGCCCTCCTGGCTTCTCGGAAAATCTTCTGGGACAAGGATAAAGGATTGAGCTCACCGCTGTCCTTAGAAAGCTTGCTATGTGTGGCAGTCTTTCCTCCCTGCTGCTCCAGGTCTTGATCTCATTCACGCCTCACTGCTGAATGTATCCTGCTGAACCAGCCCATATTCCCCCCCCCCCAGACCCCAGGGGACCCCTCCCAGGCACTAACAATGTCCTCAGCACTCCATCTTCCACCCAACTTCTCTGTCAGCCTCACTCTCCCATATTTACAGGCAGTCCACCACTCTTCAACACTGGGATTGGCTGGACTCCCATGAACATGCAGATTTGGCCTCTACTCCTTCCTGCTTACTGACTTCTGGAAGGTTCTATGGTCCTCCAGAGTAAAGAGGAGGCAATAGAGCCACAACCTGTTGAGTCATCCAGCTGACTTACAATAACCCGACTCCAATCACAGACTCACACAATTACCATGAGTCATACACAATGATTTTACCTACAGTAAACTACACTATTCTAGTAGCACACTAGATGGTGCTACACATATGTGCAGCTATTGTTGGCATCTTCTTAGTTATAATTGGCTTGCGTGTCAGAAACATTCCGTGGGTTTTTTGACCCACCGGGGGTGTAAGCAAAATGTATTTATGTCCCATCATCAAAGCCATTAGACACTTACATTAATTATGTTGCAATGAAATGCAAAGCACTTTTCTAATTACTAGGTAAATACACAGCAGACATAGGAAATACATGCTGGGCACCATTTCAGCCTTATGGCCTAGGACTGAGGAGCCCTGTGGAGAGCCAAGACTAATTCACACTTGAAAGCTCAAACCGCTTGAGGAGAAAAAATCAATTATTCTCAAAGGAGATGGTTTACATCTCCACAACTGGTTGCCTGAAGCCAAATGCCTGAAGTTCAAAAAGTTATGGAGCTTTTCTTCTAGCTCAAATTGGGAAGACTGGTGCATTTTAAAGAGGTTTATATCCATAGAAATGCATTAAAACATGCTATTCGAGTGTTTTTGCGCGCTTTGTCGCATGTTTTTTTCTGCTCAAATGAAATAATTTTTAAATAATAACAATGAATAAATTAATACATAAATGTTAAATAAATGCATTAAATAAATATGTAATTCGCTGATACAAATCAGTCTCCCTTTCGATAGAGTGAGGTACTAGACAGGGATGCCCTCTTTCTCCACTACTATTTGCTTTGGCAATGGAACCACTTGCGATTGCCATCCGCTCTGATTCCACTATCTCGGGCATCCGCTGCGGTCAACGAGACCATAAATGTGCCTTATTTGCTGATCATGTCCTTATGTATACAGTATATCTAATCCTCGAACGTCTTTACCTGGTCTCCTCCACCTGTTTCATCGCTTCTCTGAGGCCCCTGGTCTTACGCTTAATTCCTCTAAAACAATTGCTTTAAATATCTCTTTACCTGACCCTGAGGTTCATTACCACCAGGACAATTTTGACTTCCAGTGGGCCCCTCGTTCTCTCCCTTATTTGGGGATTCACCTCACAAACTCTATTTCATCGTTATATAAGACCAATTATCCCCCACTCTTCAAACGACTCAAATCTGACTTACTAGACTGGGAGGATCTTCCACTATCCTGGTTTGGTAGAATTAGCTCTATTAAGATGACCTTTTTACCAAGACTATTGTACTACTTTAGGACGCTACCGATCATGGTTCCCAAACAGAAACTGTTACTATTACAAGCAGCAGTCTCTAGATTCATCTGGAGGGGAAAATGTCCTGGGGTTAACAAGTCAACTCTATTTTCCCTAAAGAAGCATGGCGGTTTTGGACTTCCTAATCTCTTGGTCTATTTTCTGGTGGCTCAAAAAGCACAGTTATCTTTCATTACCACCAGGGGTTACGTCCCCCAATGGGTTGGCATCAAGGCCTTATCTTGCCATCCTTACGCTATTGGTACTCTCATGTGGCTCCCCCAATCGATTGCGTCCTCCTATCTTATGTCCTACAATGTCTTATTCGTTAACGGTGTGGGATAGATAGCGGGCTCGCAAACCTTTCTGCTCCCTACATACCCCATTAGCTCCAGATTTTTGTAATCCCGAGTTTATTCCTGGCTTATCACCATCTGTATTCCAATGGTGGATGAATAAGGGTTTACTGTGTATTGGAGATTTCCTGGATGGATTTCATTCTCGATCTCTCCAGTGCTATTTGACAAAGTATCAGATGCCTTCCAGGGAATTGGTTTGCTACCATCAACTTTTATCTTTTATCACTAGTAAACTCAAATTACTCATAGAACCTTGCACACTCACTCCTATAGAGGTTGCCTGTGGAGTAACTAGGATGATGAAGGGTCGTTTGTCCATTATCTATGCTTCACTGGTTAATCCACTCACTAAATTATTTTATATGACTCAATGGGAAAGGGATTTGAATAGCTCACTGGACCTGGACACTTGGCGGAATGCGGCCCATACTCTATCAAAGATTTTGATTAATACTGCTCTTATCGAATCCAATTACAAAACACTACTTCGCTGGTATCTAGTTCCTACACGCCTTGGTTAAATGTATCCATCAGTATCACCTAATTGCTTCCGACACTGCAGACAAGAGGGCACTATGCTCCATATCTGGAGGAAATGTCCGGTAGTGAATAGATTTTAGATCCGAATGTATAACTTCATTTATTCGGTAACAGGAATTAATATTTGTAGATCACCGGAAGTGGCTTTATTTAATTTGCTACCCGCTGACATTCCCAAAAAATGTACTAAATTAATTCTTTACCTCTTACTAGTGGCACGTATTACCATAGTTAGATGTTGGAGACAATCACTAATTCCGCTAGATGGGGTTAAACAAAAACGTAATTGGATAATGATAAACGATAAACTTACAAGAATTGTCAATAATGATGCTTCTAGATTTGAGGTGACGTGGGAACTATGGATCAGATATATCTCTATTACTTAACAGTACTACAGCTGAGGGCTCTCTCTCTCTCTCCCTTTTTTTTTTTTCTCTCCCCCTTCTTCCCCTTCTTTTCTGACTTATCCTGGATCTTTTTTTTCTATTTTTCTATTTTTAATCCTTTTTCTTTCTTGGTTTTCTTATTGTTGGTAAATCTATATGGAACTGCCTATGTTTACTGACTGATGGAACATTTGCTACCCTATGGAGATGGTGTTTCCTGTTCACAAAAATCATCGACTAATGTTTTTTTTCATTTGCCTACGTATATATTTTATGAATAAGTTTATTCACCCCATCTCACTATGTAGGTGGGCAATGTTTCTATTTCTGTGTATACCTATTTTTCAATAAAAAATATTGAAAGCTAAATAAATATGTAAATAAATAAAATGAATCATAAATAATTAAAATAATATGTAACAATAAATAAATATTATATTAATTAATTAACCCCTAACCTTAACCCCTTAATAATTTTAAAATAAATATTATTATTATTATACAGGATTTATATAGTGCCAGTAGTCTGCTCAGCACTTTACAGTATAAAGAGAGACAATACAGCAACAATACAGTTCAATACAAGAGGGATAGGAGGGCCCTGCTCCTTGGAGTTTACAATCTAGGAGGGAGGGGCTAGTGGTACAAAAGGTAGTAACTGTGGGGGATGGATTGGTAGGAGGAGTAGAAGATTCCATTATTAGCTGAGGGAAGGATAGGCTTCCCTGAAGAGATAGTTTTTCAGAGATTGCCTAAAAGTAAGCAGAGTAGGCGATAGTCTGATAGATTGGGGTAGAGAGTTCCAGAGGATGGGGGATGCTCTGGAGAAGTCCTGGAGATGAGCATGGGAGGAGGAGGCAAGGGAGCTAGAGAGCAGGAGGTTGTGCGAGGAGCGGAGAGTACGGTTTGGGTGATATTTGGAGACAAGATTGGTGATGTAATTTGGGGCAGAGAGTTATAAATGGCTTTATATGTTATTGTTAATGTTTTGAATTTTATCCGTTGGGCAATTGGAAGCCAGTGGAAGGATTGGCAGAGAGGGGTGGCAGATACAGAATGGTTAGTAAGGTGGATGAGTCTGGCAGCAGCATTCATGATAGACTGAAGAGGGGATAGCCTGCGTTGAGGTAGGCCAATGAGGATGGAGTTACAATAGTCAAGGCGAGAGATAACAAGGGAGTGAATAAGTTGATTTGTGGTTTCAGAGGTTAAGAACGGGCATATCTTGGAGATGTTGTGGAGGTGAAGTCTACAAGATTTGGAGAGCAATTGGATTTGGGGCTGAAAGGACAGATGGGAGTCAAGGTTTACACCTAGCACCCTGGCATGAGGGGAGGAATTTATGGTTGTGTTATTGATCTTGATTGTGAAGTCAGGGGAGGGGGCATGGGATGGAGGGAATACTAGGAACTCAGTTTTTGAAAGATTGAGTTTGACGAAGTGGAGTGACATACATGCCGATATGTCGCTTAGTAGGTTAGTAATGCAAAAGGAGACTGAAGGGGTGAGGTGAGGAGTAGAAAGATAGATTTGTGTGTCATCAGCATAGAGATGGTACTTAAAGCCATGGGAGTTTATCAAGTGACCAAGGGAGGAGGTGTAGATGGAGAAGGGGTCCAAAGACAGAACCTTGAGGACCCCTACAGAGAGAGGGAGTGAAGAGGAGGACGCAGCATTATAGGTAACGCTGAAGGAGCTCTGTAGTGATAGGTAGGAGGAGAACTAGGAGAGAGCAGAGTCTCAGAGGCCAAGAGAGTGGAGTTTTTTTGAGGAGGAGGGGATGGTCAACCGTATCAAAAGCCACAGGGAGGTCGAGTAGTAAGAATATGGAGTAGTGGCCATTGGTTTTAGCTGTCAGTAGATTATTAGTGAGTTTTAGTAGGGCAGTTTCAGTGGAGTGAGCAAAAGCCAGACTGTAAAGGGTCAAGAAGGTTGTTGTCAGTGAGGTAGGACCTCAGGCGATTGTAGAATAAGCGTTCTAGGAGTTTAGAGGTAAATGGCAGCAGGGAGATGGGTCTTAAGTTGTTCAGGTTGGTGGGGTCCAAGGAGGGCCTTTAAGTATGGGAGGGATGTGTGCATGCTTTAGAGGGGAGGGGAAGGCACTGTTTGAGAGAGATAGATTGAAGATGTGAGTGAGGGAGCATAGGATGGAAGAAGAGGGTGACCATAGTAGTTGTAAGGGGACAGGATCCAGGGGGCAGGTAGTGAGACGGGCTTCTGAGAAAACCTTAGTGACCTCTTCGGTAGTAGCAAGGTCAAAAGAGGAAAGTGTTGAGAGAGGTTTAGTATAAGGTATGCTAAGTGGGATGGATGTCTCTGCAGTAGAAATGCATCAATCTTATTTTTGAAATGATTTGCAATCTCGTAAGTAGTGAGTGAGGTACTGGGTGGAGAAAGTAGAGAGTTAAAAGTGGAGAAGAGATGACGAGGACTGGATGACAAGCTATTGATGAGAGTGACAAAGAAGGCTTGTTTGGAAGCATGGAGGGAGGAATTGTATGTTAAGAAAGCAGATTTATATAGGGTGAAAGCTTGGTGAGATTTGGTTTTACGTCACAGTCGCTCCAGCGCACGACTATGTTTCTTACGATTTCTGGTGTCACCAGTCTACCATGGTTGTAATGGTCGGGGCCTGATGCTTTGTGTTGTTAGAGGAGCAAGTGAGTCTAATGTGGATGAATGTGAACTGTTGTAGACAGCAGTGGCCAGGTCAGGGCAGGACAGGGGAGAGATTCTGTCATAGAGGCAGTCAGTTGCAGAGTACATTATAATTATAATTCATAATAATAATATTAATAATAAATACATAAAGTAAAACGCCTTATCCCTCTAACCCCATCTAACTCTAGGCCCCAACCCTAACACCTAACCCCAACCCCTAATCCTAATCCTAACCCTAACTCTAAATGAATAAACAAATGAATAAAAAAAATACTGTAAACAATCTTTGGAGTCACAGCAGCCTATAATCAGAAATATTACCTTTTCTTCAAAACAGCTCATCCATCTATTGATTGGGAAATTTAGTTTTTCTCGTAATTCTCCTTATATTAGAATTGCTATTGTTATTGTTCACTACATACTATGCATACTGTACTTTGTGTCAGATTTTTTTTGGATAGATGCTCATGGACTTGAGAGTCACTCTCTGACTTCCTATATCTTCCTTCCTATATTTAAGAAAAACTCAGACATTACTTTTGTTTTTCTCCTGAGTTTCCAGGTCACAAGTAGACCTGAGTTTGCTGGTCTACTGTCAGTCTTACTAATAAATATTATACTGAGTTGGTTTAAAAGCAATTAATTGGGAGGAAAATGATGAGATTCTGGCAAAGATATCTAGCTGTGCACAATGACTTAAATGGTAAAAAATCTTATAAACTCACTTATACATATAAAAAAAATCGTACAAATTACCAGAATAAAAAGTGCTTCTTCTAATAAAATTAATGTATATGGTATCTTTCCATCATTGTAGGCCATATTGTTGGAGCTGAGTGGAAGAACCTCCTATCCATTTGTAAAACTCGAAGCTATAGATTGTGGGATGGATGTATGGTCGGTGGAGAGGCTGGGGAAAGCCATAAAATGCAGCCAGTTAACATCTGTAACCTTGGATTACAATGAGTAAGACCCTCATCTATACAGAGTCCAAGCTGATATTCCTGTCTATGTGATCAGAACATTTTCTTGTTTGTCAGGTTCAAGGATGAAGGGATACAGGGTCTTGTTCGTGGCCTGGAAGGGAACATGAAGGTGGTTTCTCTTAGTCTGTGTTATTGTAAGCTTGGTCCATCCAGTGGGACGTTACTGGGAAAAGTTTTGGCGGAGTCAGCAGTAAGGTATTTCTTGTGTGGACCTTCCTTTATTCTTGAATATTAAGGCCTATGGCCAGGTGTCTGACAAAGTATGGTGGAAGAAATCATCATCAGCAGGTGGGTTGTTGTCCTACCTAAGAAGAAGCAGAGGAAGGTGCAGTTGCAATGTACAGAGATCACAGGAATTTTGACACATTTTACAAAATATAGGGAAAAAAGAAGAGTAGAAAACTTCCCAGATCCCAAATTCATCTGCCAGACTATCCAGTGAGTGTTCATCAGATATAGAGATGGGAATGGAGACACTAGCACCAAGGAGATAAACAGGGGAGAGGATGGTATAAACTCTGTAGTGAAAAGGGCTAAGGATAAAGTGAGGCTTAAATGCTAAGTTCACCTTTCTATTTTGGTGTAACATGTGGCATCTTCCAGCTCATTCTCCCCTCACCCCTTCCTTGTGACAGAAGGTGGGGGATCCTCTACCCCACAGCTCCTGTCACATTTTAAAGTTGGTGCAGCTGTGGAGGACTCTGCCAGGACAGCTGCGTCATTTGTTCAGAGGGATCTGTGAATGAATAAGCTTCAAGTCCCTTCTGCCACTGCGACAGAGGGCTTATAGTACACAATTTACTGTGAGGGCACGCATGAGCAATCTCGTAGTCCACTGACACTTCCTCCAGCTTAGGTCAGCCTTCAAAATATTTTCAAAAGAAGGCACCAGTGGTAACCCCCATACTTTAAAAAGTGTACCTTAAATCAAGTTTATCTGTTTTTCTGAATGAAAACACTTTAAACCTACAATATTTAAATAATAGAGCAGCTAGCAATTTTTTAGGTTTGTTTTCAGTGTATTTGTCCAACTGTAAAAACTATAAAACTTCCTGTTTACTACATATTGTAAATCTGATTACTGTACAATTAACTGACTCCTTGCCTATTATCTTTGGCTTTCTAGTGAACTGTACCTTACTGGGAACTATCTGCAGTGCTCCGGAGCAGTAGACCTAATCACAAGTATAGCAGATTATGCCCAGGGCCAGGCTGCAGAGAGGACACCTGAGCAGCCATTTGATTTAGCTCATCAGATTCTAGAAGGTAAAAGTGAATTTCCCTTTCCTTTATTCTTGTAAAAACATATAAATTATATAATTGTAGATGCATGGTGACCATAAAAGACCACATTCCTACATGAGCATTAAGGGAGTGATAACTCCCAACAGTCCACTTCCCAATGTCTCTGGGTAAACCACCATCTCTTACACCAAATGGGAGTTTACCCACAGTGCCCTAATTTTAGTGCATAGCTCCTCCCTACTCCACTAGCCCTAGTGGGAAGGTAATTAAAATGGCATGCGATGAGGCCTAAAGTCCTAAATTTGAGAGCTCAAACGAATCTGTAATCGTGAAAGATGCAAAATTGTCTATCAGGACAGGCAATAAGAAAAGTCTGAGGCCACAAGGCCTCTCATCTGTCTTCAAGATGTCCACCATTGTCCAACAAGTCTAGGGACCCAACTTTCAAGCCAATAATCTTAGATATATGGCCTTCCCTTGCAGGTAACAGGTTCTGAGCCCCGCACTCTGGAACCACAGTATCTGGATACCCTTTAGTTAGAAGAAGCGCCCTCCTCATGCAGTCTACTAGCAGTAGCATGTCACCACTCCAGCTCTCCTCATTGTGCTATCTTTGTCAGTAACCTGCGGCCTCCCAGTCCTTTATGAGCAGCACTGGACAGAGATCCTCTTCAATCTGCTCCCCACATTGAACTGTCCTTTTGAGGTGTAAGCTTTTAGTCCTCTCCATTATGTCCAGCACCTCCCCTCCTGGAACTTATAGTCTCATGCTGAATCTCACTGCTTGTTTCCCCAGGAACTACACCCCCTAGCAGTCCTTGCACTGTCCCAGTCTCTGAGTGTAGTGGGCAGGGATTCCTAACACTCCATCTGCATGCCTCCCAGCCCTTTGTTCTATCTATGAGTAGGAGACGGGAAAATAAAGGGCTATATAGTCTTTTCTCAGCCATGCAGCAGCACACATCTTCTTAAGGGACCATGGCTCTAAACAGACTACAAGGGGCCTATTTACTAAAGCTGGAGAGTGCAAAATCAGGCTCACTTCTGCATAAAAACCAATCAGCTTCTAACCTCAGCTTCTTCAGTTAAGCTTTGGCAATAAAACCTGGAAGCTGATTGGTTTCTATACAGAAGTGAGCCTGATTTTGCACTCTCCAGCTTTAGTAAATAAACCCCCAAGTGTCGCCAGCAACAGGTAAGGTGTATACTTACAAAAACACCAACATTTTTCTCAATTTGGATTCAGAAGGGAATGGTTAAATGTATGTTAGATTTTATTTACTTTTTTAGTGTCCTGTAAACACAAGGGTAAGAGATACAAAGTCTCTCCAAAGTGAGGGAACTCCCCTCTTAAACAGTTGTCATCAGTTGGAGGATCCCCCCTGTTTACTGAATCACAGAGTGCACACCAGTCTCAATAAAGTACCTTATGCTATAGTCATCAACCCACCAACATCCACAAGGGTAACGAAAACATGTTGCAGAAATAGGTGAACTGCACCAAAAACTTCTAAAAATTGCTTCCTATAAAAATAGAAGGCAGCATCACAGCATCAAGTCTGAAAAAATGGCGACGTTTCGAGTCCAATTTAGCTAATTTTCAAGCCAAAAGCGATAATGTGGGCTCATAACATCACCATTTTTTGCCGATTTCATGCTGTGATGCTGCCTTTTTAATGATAAAATATAATCACTAATTTAATACAAAGCCTGACAAAAGAAAAGTAATGCAGGAACCGCATCTAATGATCAGAAAGCTGCAGTATATTACATTCCATTTTTGTTTTTGGGTTTAGATCATCTTTAATTGCTATTGCAGCTGTATACAGTAATTACCTTACAGTTGAATTTGTATTCATCCATATTTTGATGCAATTAAAAACAAAAATGCATGTTTCTGGTTGGTTGTAGTGGGAATATTCTTTTTCTGATGGGTTTATACAACTATCCTTAATGTGCAATTAAAAGTCACTATAATGAAGACCATGAAGGGTCCATTTCTGGAACTGACGTCCTCTCCCTGGCCCCTTCTGGGTGCTGGTCCTTGCCCATCTTCATTGGCCAGCATGATATGATGTGACTCCTGCTCATACGCAGAATTCAGCCATCCCAACATACAGGGATTGTGCCAGCGTTGTATACTGAGCTGTGCATGCCCAGCTTAGCTTACATGTCACAGAAGACTGTGTGCAGACAGGTAGGTGTATTTTACTGCAGAAGAGACATTACATGTCTCTTCTGCAATAAATAACCTGCCTGCTTGTAAGTTTTTTTTATGTTGCCTTCAGTTCCATTTCAAGTGTTTTACTTTGTTTTGTGCTCAAATTTTTTTCTCTTTGTGTTTGTTGTCCATACAGCACAAGGTCAAACTGGAATTGTTACTGCGATATCAGGAGAGCTAGACATTAGCGAAAGACCTGTGACTTCAACTGACAGAACAACTGAACACAAAAAGAGCAAGAAAAAGGGTAAATGTGCTCTATTTTCTTTATGTGTTCAAATGCTGAAGACTACTACAATTAGGATGTACACCGTAGATGGCTAACAGAAGCAGGGAAGTTCACTGGATTGCTTGGACGCAGGTAGAGAAGGCAAAAGCTATTGTCACAGTGATACCTTTCAGGGGCTAACTAAAAAAAAAAATAAAAAAAGTTTTTTAAATTCCCTTTTCTGGTACAGGTGATAGATAAATGGCAAAATGCAAAAATGTATTCTAAAAAAAGGTCTTGCTACAGATCAAAGGCATAGTAAAGCATAAAATCTGAATGGATAAACAACAAATTGGCAACTTCATGGGTCACCTATTAGGCCCCATGTACACTTCTGAATGATGGAAACTGATTGCTGGAAAATGTAGGTTAAAAAACATCTGCTTAGCCACGTTTGCATAACGCGTTTATGCACGTTTACTTTTAGAAGCTTTTTTTAAAGATAAGCACAGGAGAACCTCCCAAATGCACTGAAAAGTGGTAAATTATTAACTATTTCAGACTGTTTCAGAGAAATACACAGAGTAGAAGCAGAGACAGCAGTAGGTGTTGAGATAATTAGGTGTGAGTTGCTCATTAACATTTCTTTTGTTTCCAAGGGTAGGAAAGGTGTCTGGTGGAGTCAATCTTTAACCATTTGCCGCCCACCCTATGACCGAATGGCAGCCGGCAAATGTCATCAGCATTCCAGGTGGACGCCCTATGGCGTCCTCCCGCACATGCGCAGATTGCGCTCCTGCAGAGCGGCGCGATCTGTCAACGGCCGTGTAGCTCGGACACGGCCAATGACAGATCTGAGTATCGGCCCCGTTGCCGGTACCATGTGACTGCTGTGACCAATCACAGCAGGTCACATGACAGTTGTATACAATGGATGGCTTCATTCATGCCATCCACTGTATACTACTGCCTAGCTGTGAATGGTCACAGCTAATCACATGCACGTGTCATATGATTAGCTGTGGCCAAATCACAGCTAAGCACAAAAAAAAAAAAACCCTGAATGAATCGATGAGTCATTCTTTGCTATAAGCAAATTATGTAAAAAAAAAAATACTGATCACTTCCCCAAAGTAGTACAATGTTACTATGATAACGTTGTACTACTTTGGTCATAGTGAAATATGGAAAAAAAATCTTAAAAAAAAGAAAAAAAATGTAAAAAAAAAAATATATATATATATTTTTTCATACTGTCACCAGTCAGTGTCCCCGATCACCGCCATGCCAGTTATATGATGATGCTGTACTGCACTGGTGACAATATGTAAAAAAAAAAAAAAAAAAAAACTAATTTTTTTAATTTTTTAATTTTCCAAAAAATTATGACAAAATACAACTTCAAAAAACTCGCCATGCCTCTTATGAAGTACGTCGGACTGTCTACTTTGCAAAAAGGGGTAATTTGGGGGATATCTGTACTGTTCTGACATTCTTGGACCTCAAAAATTAGATTGGCTGTCAGTACTTCAGGATTGATCAATATTCAGATCTATACCATAGTTTGTGAACTCTATAACTTTCCTACAAACTAAATAATACATCCTAATTTGGGTTATTGTCACCAAAGACATGCAGCAGAATACATCTTGGCCTAAATTTATGAAGAACAATTATTTATTTGCAAACTTTTATAACAGAAACAAAGAAAAACTTTAATCATTAACATATCTTTTGTTTCCAAGGGTGGGAGAGGTCTGAGGTGTGAATTGGTCATTACAATGTGTGACAAGCTTGGTAGGAACATCCTGTGTTAAGTGTTTTGTCCATCTGAGTACCTTGAAAACACTTTGCATGCATTTTTCATGATGAAAAAAAGGCTCTGGACAGCATTGGGAATTGGAAGAGTTAAAAAAAAATTCAGACACAAATGCTTATAAACGCGATTTGCCGCGTTTAGCTGCGTTTTGCGTTTGAAACGCTGCTAAAAATCGACTGCTGAGCACAAGTTTTCTGCGTTAAAAAAAACAACTCTAAACTCAAATGCCTGTAAACGAAGATGTGTACATGGACACATAGGAAATCATTAGGGTGAGTTCAGGGGCTGCTGAAAAAAATGCTGAACAGCTCCTAAACGTGAGTTTATCAGCTGCAGTGTACATGAGCCCTTAGTATTGCAGTGTGAAACATCTGATTTATGATTTGTAATTGCAGTTCATGCCTATAATACTTTATTTAGCATTGAGTCATTATGAATATCAAGTCCTGGAAGTGTAGTGAAAAGTTTACAGATGAACTTCAGGCAGATATAAGAGACACAAATTAATGCAGTCCTGTACTCATTAATACATCTATACATATTTTCCCCTTAAATGCTAGCAGTAGCAGTCCAGTTCCTGTGTTTGACTTGGTATTATTCTCTGCAATTCCTATACAATGAAACTGAGAGCCAAAGAGGAAGAAGCAGCAACAGCACATGGGGCCGATTAGTTCATGTGCTTACAATAAACATAATGATAGGAGGAGAAAGTAGAGTGATAGAGAGATAAGCTCAAGACTGTGCTGCTTCTCTTTTCACTGTGCAGTCCGTCTGAGAGCAGTCCTATGCTGGCTATCATTTAGGCCTGGTTCACACTACTCTGGTTCTGTGAGCCATGTTTTGCATGGGCACGACAACTTAGTCATTGGAATGGGCTGCCATGGTCCTGAACTTGCAAGGAAAAGGTTGCTGTATCGTGTTTGAAACAGCAGCCTGCAAGTTCAGTGCGGTCCCTAGTGTGAGAAACGACTGCTGCAATTTCAGGTGTGTGTGGGTGCCATTAGGAGTAATGACACCCACACACATCTCCTGCGGTTTTGTGTGGGTGGTTGGGGCTGCGGGAACAGGTGCAGTCCCTGAATCACCTATGTGGGTGTTAACCCAGCCTTAGCTTGGATGGTGGAAAAGAATATTTATTTATTTTCATTTAAAGTAAAACTAAAGGCAAAATGTTTTAACATTTTGGATAGAATGAGGGAGGGTTATAACCCCTGTCAGTTTTATTTTTGCCATCTGTGTCATCATTATGGAGATTTCCCTTCCTATTAAATAGCCAAAAGAGGACGTGAGAGGAAATTCCTCCAAAGTAAGGAAATCCCAAATGGTCAACAGAACTAGTGTCCCTATTGGAGGATTTCTCCTTTCTTACTGTTCTGGGGACAACCCAGAATTTGGGTTTTTCATTTACTCTCACTTTTGGTGATAATGGAAACCATGGCAAAGAGCAGGTTTTCTATGGCAGCTCCCATTCATCCCTCATCACAGATTCACTTTAAGTTCATTTTAATCTACTGAAAAAGCAAAAGGTAAAACCACAAGGAAACAGTTTCAGGTGCCTAATATTATCGCCAAGTTATTCCTGTTTGATTAATCAAATATGACATTATAGCTTGTTATAACACTGCATGTGATGAGTGATAACCCAGTTTGAGGAATCAGACCCAGTGGGTGCAACTGCACGGATGTCTAAATATTAGATTATATAAAATACACCACCAATATTAACAAAATATTCTTAGGAAGAAAGAAAACAAAAAAAAACAGTACTGCCACCTGGTCCATGGGTGACCAAGTTACATCTGGCTGACAATGGGATTGATGCCATGGGGCAAGAAAGGGAGACCGGTGTGTTGGAATTTTCTCAGCTGCTGAGCAGGTAAGTACTTTGCATGTACTTAGGATGCAGATATAGTGAGTGCACAGTGCACAATAGCTCATGAGGTTACTAGACGTTATCAAGACTTTTATTACCTTCAGTTATTGCATGTACAAACTACAAAATAGAGGCATATCTCTGTCTTTTACCCATTTCCTTTATCTGCTGTGGAAGCCTCCAGTTGACTTGGATCTGAAAAGGATGACATTCTGCCAAACTTTACTAAAAATAACCAATCAGAAATTTGTGTAACACGTTCATAGAATGACTTGAAGCAAGTGCTGTTTAGAAACTACCAGATTGGAACCACACCATGGATCTTCAGAATAATGTCTAAAAATGTATTAAAAGGATCACATCTCAGCAGTAAATTGCAAAGTTTCGGGGTCCTGCAGAACCTCTTCATCAGGCATGTGAAGACATGCCTGATGAAGGGGTCCTGCATGGCCACAAAACATTGCAATTTGCTTATGTGTTATCATCCCTTTAATTCATTTTTGGGCTCCAATCTGAAGATCCATGGTGTGCTGATGTTACATGTTTTGGCTACCCATTAATCTAACTTTTAAACTTTAACCTTAACTTCAAGCTTAAACTTTGTGAAATGTAGTTAATGTTTTTAAAAAAAAACAGCACAAAGGGACAGTACTTACAATGAAGGAAAAATTGTGCCATGTGCTGGTGGCTGCTGTGTTAGGTTGACATCTTCATTCCTCTGTCCTCAGATACCCCCACAGCTGTAATCTGACAGTGCTGAGACGTTAGTATAAGCAGCTACAGCCCTTTCGGCCTTCTTGCTCCATTCATATGCCATAACATTGGATCCCACAGTGAAAAGCACTCTATGAACAGAGGAGGCAGACCTTTCATTCACACGCCCATCCTTCAATCATAGAGCGGTTTTTATTGTGGGAAACAATAGTACAACTTCTACGAATGGAGCTGATAGGGTGGAAAGGGAAATCATAGTTGATGCACTGAAAGATCACAGTTACAGGGATATCCGGGGGCAGAGAAATGAAGACTACAACCGAACACACAGTCACCAGCACCAGACCCTGGTACTGTTTTTAATAAAACAAAATTCACAAAACTTCAGCTTTCACCCTCACTCTTATTATTAACACATAACCTATTACTAACTGTAAGCTAGTAACTGGAGAACTGGAGAACTTTTACATCCATGTGTAAACAGTATATATTCATGGTAATAATGGCAACAAGGTGAATGAGATCATCTACTTATTTTTGGATATTCAATGTTTTTCTAGTCTGATCCGTTACTCAGAGCAGCTTTCTGAACTGGATCTTGATAACAATTGTCTAGGAGAAATGTCAGCCACTGACATCCTGGAGGCCCTGACCTACAGAAATCAAGGTATGTTTTCATTTTTTGCTAGTTTTAATTGAACAATTTGTTACAATAAAAAGTGAAACATTTAGAGCTGAAACATAGTCTGTGCTAGTTGAAGCCACAAAAACAGATATGTAAAGTCAACATATGTTGACTGTACTGTAACATAGCTTCCAAATGTCCATAATTTAGAGGGATTGACCTACTTTTGGAACCAAATCCTTCTGTCTCTCTTTGCTCTTCAGTTGTCCCTCTTTTTGTTTGATGTATAGACCTGTATTGAAAAAAAAGCACAATTTAAAGGGTTAGTTCACCTTTACAGAAAAAATGAAAAGGTGATCTAACACCAGATACCCTTGCCCATCCCCTAGGTCCCCGCTGTACTTACCTTCAGGGGTTTGAAATCCATGGTATTCTCCCTATTCTCCATGCAGTGCTTCCGGAATACACCAGATCGATATACTGTAATGTCCGCCCCAGAAGTGTCACACAGAAAAGAGGGAGAAAAGGGGGGGATTTTAAAACCCTGGACTGCTGGACCGGCTGACAGTTAGACCAGGAGGGGGGAGGCGGTGGGTGTCCAAAGTTAGTTCACCTTTACATTTTTTTGGTAAATGTGAACTAACACTTTACCAAACATATTATAATGTAATCATTTTTGCAGCCTCTAAATTACAGCATTGTTATTTTGAAAGGTCAGTGTAAAGGAAAAGTAGTGGTAAAAAATGCATGGTGCAGGTTTCACTTATTTCCACAGCTTTCAAGGCTGATAAATAAACTCTTGAATGGCTGATGTGGTCAGGATGATTATATATGATTACAAAAGGACTGCACTCATTTTTTACATTTTTTTGTTGTTACCACTCTTTTTGTCCTTTGGATGATCTCTAATTTTGGCTTTTTGATAAGTCAGGTACAGGCCTGTAAGTCTGAGAACAGTTGTGTGCTCATGTGAGCTTTTGTGGTCTCCTCAACCTTAGTCAGTTATGCTTTAATACATTTTGACTGTGACCATGTTTCTGCTTGGTCACAGTCTTGAATTAGCAGTGTTAAAATACATGAGCTGTACACCTAAACATTATTGCTCTGGGTATTTGAAATCTTTGTTTACATAAATTTTAAAGCATATCTAAACCCACAAACAAAAATGTAATATATCACAGCTTATCAGACCTTAGATGCGGGCAGCAGCATTTTTTTCAGGCTAAAAACATTTTCAAAGTACAGAAAATACCTGTTAATTTTGCCATAAATGAAAGTCATTGTCACTTCCTGTGAGCTTACCTGAAAGCACAAGCAATCTTACCAAATTCCAAGCTATCTTCTGTAAACTGCAAGTCCCCCTGTCCCAGATAATGTAGATCGGTGGTCTCCAAACTGTGAACCAGGGGCCGTATGTGGCCCTCTTCTAGCCTTTATCCAGCCCTAGGGGCACTATTCCTAATGCTGACACCAAAAGTGGGGCATAATTCTCCCAACTGACACCAGCAATGGGACACTATTCTTCCCACTAATATCAATGATGGGGCCCTATTCCATCCACTAAGATCAATGATGGGCCAATATTCCTTCCAGTGATAGCAATGATGGGGCACTACTCCTCCTCCTACTGACCACAGGCACTGTGCAACTGAACACCACACCTGAGACCTTTTTTACTCTCAATAATGTTGGGCCTGAGACTTTTTCTAGCCCCGCTGGCCACAACATGGCCCCTCTAAAGTCTGAAGGACAGTAAACTGGCATTTTGTTTGGAAAGCTTGGAGACCCCTGATGTAGATGAACAGGAAGACGTGTTTGTATTTCAAATCAAGAGCAGCCTTGGTGACAGCCATGGCTTCCTCCATAGATACTATGGAAAAATGAACATAGCCATAGTATTACCAGGTGAAAAAAATAGTAAAAAGAAAAATAATGCAGCCACAACATCTGGACTGGTAAGCTGTAATATATTAAAGTTTTGCTTTTGGGTTTAAATACACTTAAACTGGTTTGCTTCAAATGCTAAGCCTAGTCTTTATTTCTAGCTCAGGCCAACCAAATGTATTTTTACGTATTTGTGGGTGATAATAAGATTGCATTCAGGATCCACAGTTATAATTAAATGTAATAATTTAGTCTACACCTGCTGAATGTTCAGCTCCATATTCTCATTTGGTTGAGCTAAGATAACAATTAAAGTTATTCTTTGGAAGCCAAATTATGCAATCTGTCCTGGGATTTTATATGGCATGAGAACTGCCACCTGTGCGATGACATTTGCAGGCGTATACATATTTAAATTCTTAAGAATGAATCTGTCACTTTTCACAGCTGAATATGTACAATTATTTGAAAATTATATTACTCTATAGAGTATAACAAGTAAAAGGTCAGTCATGTCGAAGATTATATTTCACATTCAAGTCAAACGTTCTGGCTTCTTTTATCTCCCGGGAACTCTGGTGAGAACTGTTCCTGAGTTCCAAGGTCCACCATGTGCCATTACCCTTACTTGGGCATCTCACTCTGCCAAATTTTTAAAGAAACATTCCGCAGCCACGTGTGGCTGGGGCTATCTGGGTGTCAGTGATTTAAAGGGACCAGGTGTGACAACCTCGTCTAAGAATTTTCTGGTTTATGTAATTAATAATAAACACTACAAAAACGTGGCAGTAAACTTTGAGGCATTTTTACAGTTCCGTAATATGTTGAACTTACGTGTGCATTGTGCTCAAAAACTGCTCTTTGAACATGTCCCTTAGTCTTACAGTAGACCTCTAGATAAGGTGATGTGCTGGCTTTGTAGGACGTGCCAATTCAAAGGTATCCTGGGCAAAAGGGTTCTTCCCAAACTCCAAGAAGTATTATGGGGTGTTTTCTGACCATCCCTAAACTATCCCTTCAGGAACCTCTCCTTAAAATATAATCCTTTCCCTCCTTAACTAGAGATACTCTGCCCCTATCTCACATTCCCCACACTGCACGGCATGCCAAAATATAGCCTATATATAGCCTCTCTGGGGTAGATTTACTAAAACGGGAGCACTCAGAATGATAGCCAATCATCTTCTAACTTCAGCTTGTTCAATTAAGCTTTGACAATAAAACCTGGAAGCTGATTAGTTTCTATGCAAAGCTGCACCAATTTTGCACTCTCCAGCTTTAGTAAATAATCCCCTCTGTGTCCAATAGGACTGCCCAATGACATTTTCAGCCCTACCGTCACCATATACATGAACTCCAGTTTGATGAAGAATCAGAACAATTCTCACAGTATGGCAATGTGGAAATTTAGATTAAGACAGACCCCTCTAGGAATAGAATGGGACACCTCATGTAGATTTAGCTTTTTGCTGCAGCAAAGGAAACAGAGATGTGTTTTGCATTCTTACAAGGTTTCCATATGTACAGGGAACAGGGACAGTACAATTACAATATAATTCAATTCAAGAGGAATCAGAAAACCTTGTTCTTTAGAGATTATAATCTAAAAGAAGAAAATCTAAAGCATTCTGGACTACTACTCATCATACACTTCCCTTTCATTCTTTTCCTAAATCACTCACTAATAGCTATGAGATTATATTTACTTTCTCTCCTTGATGTATGCTTCCCAGGAAAGTTACCACGCTTGAAAATTAAAGTCACAGCCCAAATTTCATCAATTACATTTAAAGCCATCCTAAAACAGAGTAGAAAACTGAAAGTCTCAAAGAAGAAAAGGAAGAAGGTAATTGGTACTACTTTATATTTGTGTATAGATGTAATTTAAACATCTGGACCCTTACCTTACATGCATAATTGCTAACTTTCACTTGTCATACTAAGCTTGATATTGGAATAGCTTTGAAATATATGGATGAGATATACAGTAAAAGAAAATAAGTATTTAATCCCCTGCTGATTTTGAATGTTTGCTCACTCACAAAGAAATGATCAGTCTAAAAATCCAATGGTAGGCTTATTGTAACACTGAGAGACAGAATAGCAACAAAAAATTTAAAAGAAATGCATGTCTAACAAATAATGCACTGATTTGCATGTTCATGAGGGAAATAAGTATTTGATCCTTCACAAAACATGACTTAGTACTTGGTGGCAAATCCCTTGTTGGCAATCACAGAGGTCAGACGTTTCTTGTAGTTGGCCACCAGGTTTGCACACATCTCAGGAGGGATTTTGGCCCACTACTCTTGGCAGATCCTCTCCAAGTCATTATGGTTTGGTGGCTGACATTTGGCAACTCGAACTTTCAGCTCCCTCTACAGATTTTCAATCAGATTAAGGTCTGGAGACTGGCTAGTCCACTCCAGGACCTTAATGTGCTTCTTCTTGAGCCACTCTTTTGTTGCCTTGGCCGTGTGTTTTGGGTCATTGTCATAATGGAACACCCATCCACGACCCATTTTCAATGCCCTGGCTGAGGGAGGAAGATTCTCACCCAAGATTCGACGGTACATTACCCTGTCCATCGTCCCTTTGATGTGGTGCAGGTGTCCTGTCCCCTTAGCAGAAAAACACCCTCAAAGCAGAATATTTCCACCACCATGTTTGACAGTTGGGATGGTGTTCTTGGGGTCATAGGCAGCAGTCCTCCTCCTCAAAATACGTTGAGCTGAGTTGATGCCAAAGAGCCCGATTTTGGTCTCATCTGACCACAACACTTTCATCCAGTCCTCCTCTGCATAATTCAGATGTTCAGTGGCAAACTTCAGACGGGCCTGGACATGTGCTTTCTTGAGCAGAGGGATCTTACGGGTCCTGCAGGATTTCAATCCTTGTCGGTGTAGTGTGTTGCCAATTGTTTTCTTGGTGACTGTGGTCCCAGCTGCCTGGAGATCATTGACAAGATCCTCATGTGTAGTTCTGGGATGATTCCTCACCTCACTGTTCTCATGTTCATTGACACTCCACGAGGTAAGATCTTGCACGGTGCACCAGACCTAGGGAGACTGACAGTTGTTTTGTCTTTCTCCCATTTGCGACTGATTGCACCAACTGTTGTCATCTTCTCACCAAGCTGTTTGGCGATAGTTTGGTGGCCCAGTCCAGCCTTGTGTAGGTCTACAATCTTGTCCCTGACATCCTTGGACAGCTCTTTGGTCTTTGCCATGGTGGAGAGTTTGAAATCTGATTGTTTGATTGCTCCTGTGGACAGGTGTCTTTTATACAGGTAACAAAATGAGATTCGCAGCACTCCCTTTAAGAGACTGCTTCTAATCTCAGCTTGTTCCCTGTATGAAAGACACCTGGTAGCCAGAAATCCTGCTGAATGATAGGGGATCAAATACTTATTTCTCTCATGAACATGCAAATCAGTGCATCATTTGTTAGACATGCATTTCTTTTGATTTTTTTGTTGCTATTCTGCCTCTCAGTGTTACAAATACACCTACCATTCGATTTTTAGACTGATTATTTCTTTGTGAGTGGGCAAACATTCAAAATCAGCAGGGGATCAAATACTTATTTCCTTCACTGTAAATTCCAATTGCTCTGGGCTTACCCTCCTGGTTCTGCTGTTTGCAGGGATGTGTGAGTCCCAGAAGTGGCTGGACAAAATTATAAATCCTTTGACTGATAACACAGTTCAGCTATGTATACATCAGCTATGTGTTTAGCTGTTTGCCTAAAGTTCAACTTTAACTCAGCTACCTATTAATAGAAGATAACTAGACATATGTAGTTCATTTCGTTATAAATCGAAATTCGTCTGACATTTTCGATATTGAGAGATTCAGATGTAACCGAACCTCTGAATGACAATAGTAATGAATTTCAGCGAATCCGAAACAAATTATAACAAAACATAACATTTAGTTAATTCGGATGTTTGAAGCATCCGAAGTACCAAATGATCCAAGTTGATTTGTGAATAGCTTGTTGTTAAGGAGCAGGCAGCTGCCGCATGCGTTCAGAGGAGTTCCACCCTGCCCCTCCCCCAAAAAAAACTAAAAGTCAGCAGCTACAGATACTGTAGCTGCTGATTTTTAATATCAGGGCACTTACCTTTCCAGGCATCCAGCATGTCCTCACCCGAGCCTATTCTTTAATTGGCTATCAAGTGCTGGCAGCACCATCTTGGCTAAGGGAAACTAAGTCAGTTTCCTACTGTGCATGTGTGCTGTGCTTTGTCAGTGGCCTGCAGTCCTCTGGGACCTGTGAAGGAACTCCGCTTTAACAACTATGACTCATCTGCTGTTAGTGGGGTTCCCCACTGACAGCAGAATGTAAACAAAGAAGAGCTAGAATTAGCAAAAAAAAAGAAAAAACTTTTTTTTTTGTTTTATTTTTTCAGGTTAGCTGCTGGCATTCATCATGGCTGACCCTGTATTTACTTTGGGGAACATTGTTTTTTTGTTTTTTTTTTAATAAAGGGCTTGTCAAAAATTGTGTACTGTTTTTACTTAATTTTCACACTATTTTTGGTGAATGAGTAAGGGTACTATGTACCCCATACTCATTCACATAGGACAGGCCCAGGATCTTGGGGCTTTCAGATTCCGATAAGATCCCCGCTTGCAGATCCCCACAACCCTGGCCCAGTGGTTGTGTGGATTTGTGGGCGGGGATCTTATCGGAATCTGAAAGCCCCAAGATCCCGGGCCCCTCCTATGTGAATGGCCCTTGTCCCCATCAACTTGGGGAGGGAGCCCTGATATGGTTCAGGAGGGGGTGCTCACTTGTCCCCCCCACTTTTCTGACCTGCTTGGCTGCATATTCAGATAAGGCTCCTGTATGGATTTTGGGGGGACCCCATACCATTTTCTTTTTTAATTTTGGTGTGGGGTTCCCCTTACAATCCATACCATACCTGAAGGGCCTGGTATGAATTGGGGGAGAGCCCTATGCTGTTTTTTTTGTTTACATTCTGCTGTTTGCAGGGAATCCATGGAGTCATGGTTGTTAAGGACGTGGTGGCCAGCAGGCTGCCCACTCCTTAAAGGATAAGTTCACCTCTGGGAACACATTTCATGTTCCAACCATTTTTAGGGTGGAACATGTAACATGTTCCCACTCCTGCAGCTGCTCAGCAATCTGCTGCCTCTGTGTGACAGCAGTATGGGGAGAAGTTCCCCGTAGCAGCTGTAACCTTTTGAAAAGCACGTGGCAGGGCTCTGCCCAGGGGCGGACTGACCATTTGGAAACTCGGGCACTGCCCGAGGGCCGGGGGTCAGTAGGGGGCCCCATGAGATGCCCCTGGTACCTTTTTCATAGGCTTTTTTGAGTTTGAGCAAGGACACAGGGGCCCTATGATCCCCTATTGCCTGGGGCCCCATGAGTTGTCAGTCCGCCCCTGGCTCTGCCCACACAACCATGTCATTCATAGAGTTCTGTGAATGAATGAAATACAGGTACCCACATCCTTTGTGACTGTCGGCTGGTAGTTCTCAATTAACTACCACAGCACTGTGTAGAACTCTGGTAGTTCATTGAATCTTCCTGTCATTGTGTAACTGACTGCCCATACGATGTACGTGCAGACAACTTACACTGACAGTCTGCAGGAGTCCTGCATGGCACCAGCGATCTACTGATCGCTGGTGCAATGCTTTACAGGCTCCTAAAAAACAATAGTAAATGCCTATTTACCTGCAAAAAAATTTGCTTTTTTTTTTTTAAGGTGAACTTATCCTTTACCAGCTATTCATCACAATGAATTCAGACAGATTCGAAAATACTGAATCCTTCAAATAAAAAGGAATATACGAAACGAATGCTGAATATATGAAACAAATCCCGAAAATTAATTTGTTCAACATAACGAATATGACAAAATGAAATTCTCCAATTAACGAATGAAATTAAATGAATATTTCAGCTGTGCATATGTCTAGAGACAACACTGAATAGCTGACCAAAGCACAATCGGCAATTATATCTACACTGTTAAAAAAAATTAAAGCACCACTTTTTAATCTGAGTATAGCATCAAGTCAGTTAAACTCCTGAGATATTGATCAGGTCAGTTAAGTAGCAGAGGGCATTGTTAATCAGTTTCAACTGCTTTGATGTTAGTGAAATTAACAACAGGTGCACTAGATGGGCAACAATGAGACAACCCCCAAAACAGGAATGGTTTTACAGGTGGAGGCCACTGACATTTTTTACCTACTCATATTTCCTGACTGTTTTTCACTAGTTTTGCATTTGGCTAGGGTTATTGTCACTACTGGTAGCATGAGGTGATACCTGGACCCTACAGAGATTGCACAGGCAGTCCAATTCCTGCAGGATGGCACATCAATATGTGCCATTGCCAGAAGATTTGCTGTGTTTCCCAGCACAAGCTCAAGAGCATGGAGGAGATTTCATGAGACAGGCAGTTACTCTAGGAGAGCTGGACAGGACCGTAGAAGCTCCTTAACCCATCAGGAGGACCGGTATCAGCTCCTTTGTGCAAGGAGGAACAGGATGAGCATTGCCAGAGCCCTATAAAATGACCTCCAGCAGGCCACTGGTGTGAATGTCTCTGACTAAACAATCAGAAAAAGACTTTATGAGGGTGGCCTGAGGGCCTGACATCCTCTAGTGGGCCCTGTGCTCACTGCCCGGCACCACAGAGCTTGATTGGCATTCGCCACTGAATGCCAGAATTGGCAGGTCAACCACTGGTGCCCTGTGCTTTTCACAGATGAGAGCAGGTTCACCCTGAGCACATGTGACAGATATGAAAGGGTCTGGAGAAGCCGTGGACAATGTTATGCTGCCTGTAACACCATTCAGCATGAC